TATCTATCTAACTATTTATCTATCTATAGGAAGGATCGATGAAGCCCTAGAGCACCATGTGCAGGATCAATTTGAAATTCTTCTTTATAGAAAAAACAGTAAGTATTGCTTTGGAAAGCTGTGGGGGGGGGAGGGATTTACTTGACAAATTTTGGGAGGGGGGGTAGAGAGAGTTTTTGTTCAGGAGATGGGGGAGTGAATGGGTGAGTTCTGGATTTAGTGCATTAAAGGGAGTGACCGACAATGTTTGGTAGTTGAACTGAGAATGTAATATTGTGGAGAAATTGTTAGGTTTCTTTGAGAAATATAAAGCGTTTTAATGATGTATAATTACTAAGTTTGAGCGAAAATTCGACGTATAAAATCATCCATGTGGGTCCGGTTACATTTTGAAAATTGATTTTTTTTAATGATTAAGTAACAAAAAATGTAAAAAAAATCGACAGTAAACTAATTAGATATTTAAGAACATATTTCTCAATATAAATTTGTTAATAAATCAATATTAGAGTCAATTATTTCTTTTTCATCATTTTAATGAATTTCTTATTCTTTACGAATTTGTTCATAGACTTCTACAAATTCTTCAAATGTCGTTTTTTCAAAAGAAAACTTTTTGTGAACATTGCGACATTAAAGAAACAAGTAACTGAATAAGATTTCTTACTTTTCGATACCGCAATTTTCTATTTTCTCAACCTGTTCTTAAACAACTAATTAAACCAATTTTGAATTTGTTATATTTTTTGTCGTCGTTATTTAATGATTTTTAAAAAAATCGATTCTCAAGACGTAACTACCCAAATGGATGATTTCGAAACTTTGCACTCAAACTCTTAAATCATTAAAACGTTTAATATGTCCTAAATGAATTCTATCAAATTTCTCTACAATACTACATTCTCAGTTAAACTACCATAGCCAGTCATCCCCTTTAGGTTGGTTCGTTTTTGGTTCATTTTCTTTCAGGGTCTAAACGAACACGTGGTAAAATCGCATTTTTTAGGATAAAAATATTACAAAGTTTTATAAAAGCAACCTTTAACAGAAAACAGTTTTTAAAAAATGTCAGATTTGAATCTAAGTCGAAATTTACTTCAGTTAAACGTGACACATTTAAGTATAATTTGAATCTAAAACTAAATCTACTTTAGTTAAACGTGACACATTTAAGCATAATTTCAATCTAAAGCGAAATCTACTTTATTTAAACGTGACACATTTAAGTATAATTTAAATCTAAAACTAAATCTACTTTAGTTAAACGTGACACATTTAAGTATACTTTCAATCTAAAACTAAATCTACTTTAGTTGAACGTAACACATTTAAGTATAGTTTCAATCTAAAACTAAATCTACTTTAGTTGAGCGTGACACATTTCATTATAATTTCAATCTAAAACTAAATCTACTTTAGTTGAACGTAACACATTTAAGTATAATTTTAATCTAAAACTAAATCTACTTTAGTTGAACGTGACACATTTAAGTACAATTTCAATCATTAGCATTTGTGTTTGAGTAGTTTGTTTTGATGAATTAGTTATCGTAACATTATTTTATGACTTCTAATTTAGTTTATGAAAGGGTAAACGGTGAAAATGCATGGAAAACAGAAAATGGAAATATGGAAGAATTAAAAAATGAAAAAAAGTAGAAGAGAAAGAAAAAAAGAAAACGTGAATGATATTATCGAACATTTCGAATATTTGTAATATCTTGCAAATTTTCATATTCCTAACACTCAATTCGAAATATCGAAGAAATTGTACGCAGTTTTAAATGGTAGTTTTAATATTTAGAACAAAGTAATAGGGTTTCAATGTCAGGATATATAAAACAATACGTACAGTTAAACTATGTAATAAAACAAGACACTCATATACATGTTGCGTATAGTCGTTCAAATAGTTTTCAAATTTTTTTTTTCACGGGCAACGTCTGACCCTTTAGCTAGTACTATATATAAATATATTAATATATATATAAGGCAAATATATAGATTAGTTTTCTTAATTTCCGGTATATATAAATATATCCGGCACTGGATTATGTTATATACTATAAACGTATAGAGACATATAGTAATATTAGAAATCAATACCAAGGGTTGTGTACAACGTTTTTTACATTTATAACTCTTTCCTTTTTTCGTGACATTTTTACATTTATAACTCTTTCCTTTTTTATATTTATAACTCTTTACTTTTTTACATTTATAACTCTTTCCTTTTTTACATTTATAACTCTTTCCTTTTTTCGTGACATTTTTTATACTTTTAGTATTAAGAAATTCTCGGGTCTTTAGGGCCGGTTGTTTGATCTTTTTGATCTTTTTATTACCTCAATATTTTCCATAATCCAGGAGTTGCACGTTTACATAGAAATCACAACAATCACAACATCGATATCTTATGCATTATGTAAAGGGGAACTGTGTTCATGAGACATGCCACTCTGTACATGCCATTGAAGTCATATTAAAGTCATATTGAAGTCATATTGAAGTCTCTTTAGCAAGTTTTCTCTTGTACTTGAACAATTATTTATGGGACATGTCAAAACAGCGTCGCTGATTGTTCGTTTGTTTATGATTAGGAAAAAACTCACAGAAAAGGATACAGCTTAAAACCTCTTTGGTTACCGACCCTTTAGATAACTGTAGTTGAATTAAAACTTCCCAAAATCTATGAAATTTAAAATTATTTCGACTGTTTTAATCCATGTTGAGGAGTTGTTGTTATATAGCGTATATTTAAATGTCTAACTGCGCAAATAGTAAGGCTTCTTTCGTAATGTGACCTGAGCTGAACAAAAAACCAATCAAAACCAGTTCGTTTTCATAGACGATCGTTTTTAGAAAAAAAATGATTAAAACGAGACAAAAACGACCGTTTTTTATCGTTTTCAAACACGATTAACAACCATAAATGTGAGTTAATTAATTAAATTAAATGTAAAGGACTATAGATAGGCAGAAGCGGCTTTTTTTTTTGGGGGGGGGGGCGGGTAGCCATTGGGAGCACAAGAAAAGAGAGCAAGGCACCATCTAGCCTTTAATTTTTGATTTTAAGAAAAGATTTAAACAAGATTTAAACCACTTTTCCTCTCAACATTTATATTTTTTATAAGAATCTTAAAGTTGCGAACACATTTTTCACCCTCCACGGTTTCACCCTCTCAGCTGCTCAAGATTTTGAAACAAAATTGCCCAGATGCAGGAGTAGGACTGTACTGTACTGTACTGTACTGTTCTGTACTGTACTGTACTGTACAGATGCAGGAGTAGGACTGTACACATATATTTTAATTGGACTCTACCCGATACTTAGCATATGAGCTAGTGACTAAGTGAAATTGATTTCTCTAAATAGTGACTTGATAATTTATGCTTCAATAACAATAGAGAAAATATCCAGAATTCAACATTTTTAAAGCTAGAAAAAATATGAAATTCGAGGTTTTCATTTTTTTCCATTAAAAACTTTTGAAATTAAAAGGCAGAACCTCTTTTAACCTTATCAAGGAACGTTTATGTCGAATCAATTCCATACAGATTAATCGTTCCGTAAAAGTTCCGCAAGGCCTTGACAAATTAAAATTTATTCATAAAAAAGTAAACCCTAAATGACATTTTTCATAAAATTATTGATCAGTTGTGGAAACTAAGAAAGGGTAAAGGGGCCAATTTTTACAATTGCACTATTTCCACTTGAAAATATTCAGATACCCATATCAACATATTTTAAATAATTTTTTTGTCTTTACTAGTACAATTTTGAATTCTTCCTACCCTTTGAAGGAGAAAATGTATTGTTACCATATAAAGATGGTATGAAATAAAGGAAATCTAAAACCTGAAACTGATGTGAGTAAATCTACAGAGTGCAGGAAAAAATGTGTTAACAAGTAAAAAATGAACAAATAAAATGATACTATTGAATAATCATGGAAAGCCGGAGCTCCTCTGGCAGACTCTACGCCTTTCATTCGCCTCGTACGACGAGTTGATCTTTCATCTTAAGACCCTTGGTGGTAACTCACTTCATTTCGGTTTTAACCCAGACCAATCCTATGTTCTCCTCCTAGGATCTGGGGCAACGATGGTTTTGGTTTTCCACGTGTTCAAACATACATTCAAAGCATGTTTTCTGGATTGGCATTTTCTAACGACAAATATTTCTCCATGTTGGCGACTAATCATCCACCCGCTTTCTCTCCGACCTATAGCTGTATAAAAAAGAGCTAATACGTCGTACTGTTTCTAGGCCAGACTACAAGGGGGTATACAGAAATAAATGTAGGGGGGGCAAGATTTGCGCGAAGCGCAAAAATTTTTTTTTGCCCCCCCCTAGGAGCTCCTAGGGGGGGGCAAAATTCGAACTGTAAATTCATAACACTTGGCTTCTTGGAAATGCTAAGCATACTAATTTTATGTTTTCTTAGTACAGCTAGATAGTTGAGTTCAATCTAAATAGTCAGGAACAGTCTATTTAAATCTGCTCTGACCGACGCGCAAAGAGAAGCTAGACGAGCGCGCAGCATTTGGAAGCTTTGAAGGCAGAGAAGAGAACGGCAGTCCTACTTTACCCAATCTGAGTTTAGCTCCGTGTTCATATGAGAACTGAGGTGGTTACATCAATAGAACTATCCCTATTCAGAGCTATTGAGCTCTGCACCGATTGCTTTATTGTTTTACCCAACCCGTAAATAATAAAATTAAATTTAATACAAATCATTCAGAAATTACAAGTTATAAATCTTTTAAAAGTTCTTTATTTAAAATATATTTTGGATAACGATAATTCCGCCGCTAGGTACCTCGGTTCTCAATATTTCAACCATTTTTCTTGGGAAAGAGACCTAAGCAGCCAAGACATTGTCCCCAAAAATACATACATCCACCATTATTTATACACACAAGAATGTTTTCAAAACATTCAATAATAAACAAACTCTACTGGGATTAGTTTCTGATCCATTAAAAGTGGAAAACACACATTATATATTGTGTACAATATGAAATAAAAAACTTCTTTTAAAGGGACTGTCTGTGTAACTTTAAATGACCCTGACATAGCCCTTTGTGTGATTAATAGTATGCCCAAGATAACAGTATGAATTTTTATTCCTTGTGAATCGGACTTCACCCTAAGTTTAGCGCTCAGTTCTTTTTAGTCAAAATACATATTCCTCTTTACCAACAAAAACCAAAGAAAAACTAATGCTTTTTTGAATACAGTGGTTTTAATTCTATTAAATTTATTTAAACACATAGATAAAGGGCAAAAAGAAGCATAATAATAAAACCCTCAAGCCTTTTAAAATTATAATTTCAATATTTTACGCATTTTTTGTATCATGCTTTCAAACACATAATACCCCAGGAGAAACACAACTGAGCAAATAATTTTTCTTAAAGGGACTGTAAAGGAAAAATGAAATGGGGTATAGTATTAAACCTGAGAATCTCAGGATTTGAAGGATACCTATAAGACGTCTATCTTATGTTTCTGTCTCGAGAAATTAACATAAAACTGTGTCAAAATTATACTGAAAAGGACATATGTCAGATTTTGTATAAAAGTTTTAGCATTAAACAGATCATATTCAACAATTACGCAACCAATCTGAGAATCTCAGGTTTGCTCATATTATAATTTCATATTTTGCATTTTGCATTTTTAATAGATATAGTTGATAATATTATTACATATAGTCCGTATTACGTCACAATAACAATACTAACAATAACAATGATACTGCAGTATCGTTGTCACGTGGTAAAAACGGAAACCACGTGACCATTATACTTCACTGCCATTGGCTGAAGTACTGGTGACGTACTATGGACAATACGGATTAAAGGAAATGTAGGCGTAATTTCAAGGGAAACAGAGTTAAGGATTACTTTAAAAATTGGTTATATTCCTTTTGGATTTGTTTATTTAAGAGGATTTTGGATTTATTTTTCTAAAATAATTAAGAAAAACGAAAAAAAAACTTTAACTGAATTAAATAGGTATTTTCTTGGAAATACTATTATTTCAATTCTCTTTTATTAAAAAGAAACTTTTTAATTTTTAAAAATTTAAAGTTATTTTCATCGATTACTTATCGTACTTATTTTCTTATCTTTACCCGGGGGAAAAAAATCAACTAGGCAAGCAGAAGATATTTCTAAATAAATTAATTATAAATAATCTGTTAAACGCATAAAGACTAAAGAGGAAACACCAAACAACATGAGTCCTCAGGCATACTGCCTAAATGCCCCATTTTACTTATACCAGACAAAATCTATATTTAGACCTACTTCCAGTCATCGGATTTTAACATTGTAAAGCTTTGGAAAGCCTATTGCAAAAACAACCAGATTGCACAGAAGTTTTGCACAGATTTTTGCACAGACGCTTTAAAAGGGAATTTGCACATTTTCAGTTTTTCTTAAATACACATTTAGGTTTTAAAATTTTGCAAATGTTTTTGCATATTTAAATTTGCTGGGTCAAGGGCTTTTCAAAAATGTATAATTTGTTGCGTTTTGTGTAATTTTGTTTCGCACATTTTTTTGCTTATTAACTAGATTTCGCAATATATATTTGGTTTTATTGCAAATTTGCCTTTTTTTTGCAGATTATTGAAGTAGCGCCTAAGCATAAACGTATCAAATTTTATAGATTTTTATCACAATATGAAATAGAGGGGGGGGGGGTCAATTTGAACCTGTACCTGTACCTGTACCTGTACCTGTACCTGTACCTGTACCTGTACCTCTACATCTACCTCTACCTCTACTGTACCTGTACCTGTACCAAATGTTCAATATGTTATTTTTAAGTTCAATTATAGAAAGTATTTTCTAATTCCAAGGTTTAACATTTAAGTTGTGAAACAAGATTGATTTTATGCAGTAAACATTTAGAATAAGGAAACTTTAAAGCTAAAATAAATCAACACTAGGAGGACTTGTTTTTAAGGTAAAAGAAGAGATTTATTACAATAATAGAAATAATTGTCAAAAATTCAAACTTTGATTATGAATTATTGAAACCAATATCAGCAGCAAACAGCAATATATCCAGCTAAATGTAGAAAAATCATCCAGTTATATTCGATAGTCCCGATGACAATGTTGAACTAATGATAACGTATATGTTAATCTTGGTCTTGATGCATAGAATATTTCTTACAATGAAGGTTAAATAAACCAAATTGTGTATCTGAGTGTTATCGATATCTATATAATAAAGCTCTTCGCTCATATTTACATATTTTTATGTATGTATGAAATTATATATATTTATATGTTAGCTACAGCTGGCCAAACAGCTGGACCGAATGGGCTAAGATTTTTTGAGGGAACCCTTGAGTACCCCGTGGGTAACATGGGCTAAAAAACATTGTTTTTTTTAAAACAAAATTCTTTTTTCTAAATCAAGCTTTTTTCATAACTTGATTTTAAAATTTACTCTTCAGCTATTATTACATAATAACCTTAACTATTTATTACATAAATATACATACTATAAATATCTCAATGTAAACATTCATATTAACGTTGCATAATCGATATAAGGAATATTTTTATTTGTATATCGATAGGTTCTGAATTAACTTCAAATATTTTGGTGTTTGAAAGCTATTTAGCATTAAAATGTAAAAACTAAATGTGTTTATGTCAAACTGGAGTATATTTTATGTTTTTTGAATCATAACTCCTCTTTTCAAACAGCTGTTAAGAGAAGAATAAAAATGCTTTGAATTACAAATAGCCAGATACAACGGATTTTTCTTAAAATTCAAATCTATAGGAACTACGAGGACTAACAGTTGTACAAGCAACGTCGCATAATTTTACCTTCTGATTAGTTTGCAATGGGATATAAATGATACAATTAAAATTAGTTATTTTTTTTTTTGCTCGTTATTATTTGTTTTTCATTAATGCGAGTTTAATTCTATTACAATTTCTTTACTTTTCCCATGTTTTCCATAAAAAGTTAATTATTAATTCTATTTTTAGGAACAAAGTTAATTATTAATTCCATTTTTAGGAACAAAGTTAAATTAATTCTATTGTCAGGAATAAAGTTAATTATTAATTCTAATTTTAGGAATAAAGTTAAATTAATTCTATTGTCAGGAATAAAGTTAAATATTAATTCTATTGTTAGGAATAAAGTTAAATATTAATTCTATTTTTAGTGACAAAGTTAATTATTAATTCTATTTTTAGTGACAAAGTTAATTATTAATTCTATTTTTAGTGACAAAGTTAATTATTAATTCTATTTTTAGAAACAAAGTTAAATTAATTCTGTTTTTAGGAATAAAGTTAAATATTTATTCAATTTTTAGCAACAAAGTTAATTATTAATTCTATTGTTAGGAATAAAGTTAATTATTAATTCTATTTTTAGGAATAAAGTTAATTATTAATTCTATTGTTAGGAATAAAGTTAATTATTAATTTTATTTTTAGGAATAAAGTAATTATTAATTCTATTTTTAGTGACAAAGTTAATTATTAATTCTATTTTTAGGAACAAAGTTAATTATTAATTCTATTTTTAGGAACAAAGTTAATTATTAATTATATTTGTAGGAACAAAGTTAATTATTAATTATATTTTTAGGAACAAAGTTAAATTAATTCTATTGTTAGGAACAAAGTTAATTATTAATTCTATGTTAGGAACCCCACTGTGGTTGCTCATGCATGTGTCTCCAATTAAGAACGAGAGAGATATTGCCGTTCTTTTTCTTTGTACTTTTAGGAAATCAACAAATCGATTTATGTTTTAATAAGATCAATTTATCATCGAATTTGAAATTAAATTAAAAGTTTTAACTGATGCATAAAATAATATTTAGGCCATAACTTAAAATATTGATCGAGAAATCCCGCATGAGAAGTAAATTCATAATTTACTTTATTTTATGTTATGTAAAATTTGAACTAAATTGTGAGTCAGCTGTTTTAAAACTATGTACAAAATGAGGGAAAAGAAAATTGGTTTTTATCTTGGATGATTGATTGGTTAATTGATTGATTGAATAAACAGAGACATCACCGCCTTAAAACAGCCCATAGAAGATCAGGAAAAAGAAGCAGGAGTTTTAGGTATTTATTATCAATTAACAATATACTGATTATCTTAAAACTGTTTAGATGGAAGACGACAGATTTTATTTGACACAGTTCAATGAACAAGAAACACAGCAATTGTTCACTGTACATAGACTAATTTGCCACTGGTAAAACAAGTTGCTTTGTAACATTTCACTGCTTAAATGCCATCTATATATTTTTCAGTTTTATGTGACCCAATGTATCACAATTAAGTCAAAGTTCTTAAATATATTTTTGACCTGAACAAAATATCCGCCAAATTCTCGATGTGTACACTCAGTGTACAGTGCCACGTGTTTAGGTTTGAGTAAGTTTGCTAAACTGGCGAGATCTGTGACGCGAACCAAACAAACATTTTCTTCTACGCTTATTCCATCTCAAGCTCCTGTCAAGGCTGGCCTTAACGTGACGGAGGTAAAATTGGTTCGAGGGAGGGAAGGCATGACGGCCTGGAGCCTCAATGCATGTACTCTAAACTTACACAACTTGTCATATGTGTGCCTCCTAGATATATTTAACATTTTAGCTGCCCCCCTCCACATGGAATTTTAATTTTCAACAAAACGAAATTTATTTTAAAAAATATCTTTTTTCTAGGAATGCCCCATTAAAACATACCAGGCAAGAAAACATTATTAGTGTACATAATGTAGAATAATGTAGAATATGGTATTTAAATACTATTAATTTATCGAAAAGTCTAAGTTCGAAATATCTAAGGTATACACACCATCAGGCTGCAAAGATACAGGGATTAGAAAATTTGAATTTGTGGTAAAAACTCATTTCCTTTAATTCGGGTTTAGACTCTTTATATTAACTTTTTTCTGGAACACTCCCTTTAGGAAGGGTTTAGAGGAACCGAAAATTTTTATTTATCCAGCAAAATTCTTAGTTTGAAATATTAAAGGTCTGCAGCATCAGGTTGAAGAAATAAAAGTATTAGAAAATTTGAAGATAAGACAAGATAAATTTTATTGCTAAAATACATGTATCTGTGTACAGAACAGATTTACAATTACAAGTTGATAATTATTTTAGAAAATTAGAAATAAGGCAATTGTTTTGTATATGCAGTTACAACTTACAAATTGATAATTATTTTAGAAAATTAGAAATAAGGCAATTGTTTTGTATACAGTTACAACTTACAAGTTGATAATTATTTTAGAAAATTAGAAATAAGGCAATTGTTTTGTATACAGTTACAACTTACAAGTTGATAATTATTTTAGAAAATTAGAAATAAGGCAATTGTTTTGTATACAGTTACAACTTACAAGTTGATAATTATTTTAGAAAATTAGAAATAAGGCAATTGTTTTGTATACAGTTACAACTTACAAGTTGATAATTATTTTAGAAAATTAGAAATAAGGCAATTGTTTTGTATACAGTTACAACTTACAAGTTGATAATTATTTTAGAAAATTAGAAATAAGGCAATTGTTTTGTATACAGTTACAACTTACAAGTTGATAATTATTCTAGAAAATTAGAAATAAGGCAATTGTTTTATATAAATGTGTTATATAGGTGTACCCTAGTTTTCTTAATAATACAATATTGAATTTATCTCACTCAAAAACATCTCAAGGTTTATTAACTGGTAAATTCTAGAGGTTAAGGTTTAAGTACAAATCCAGAATTCTTTAGAATAATGTTTGTGACATTAATACCAACAACTTTTTGTTCTGTAAATCATTGTAATTACAGTAATTAGAGGTATTTCTAATAAAATTATTTTCGAGAACTGTAAATAAAAAAGGTTGAAAACAGTTTACTAAAATACAAATACATTTGATTGAACTAAAAACGATGGTTAAATGATTAACCCCCCACTCTCAGGCGAAAATTCCATTTAACCTACAACCCTTGGATTCTACTTGCGTTGTATATCGGATATGCTAGTCTATAAATGGAGAGTCACTTGACTTTACGTCTACATTTCCCTTTACAATAACGTCAACTAATATATGTATAAATGAATTACCTAAAATGTTGGGAAGTATATAAAGTACTAGTTGTGGTTTTCTATAACTATAGAACAAAGTGTACTTAACTAAACATTGCTTTTAGTTTACAATTACTTATTGTTTACAACAAAACTAATAAAATACTTAAAGAAACAATATTAACGTAATTTCTATTGATCTGTTGGCCCAATTTACAACGGTACTCTAAATAAACTATGTGGGTATCCAAACAGGAATAATTTGAGATTTGTCCACAGAAAGGTTTATTTGCTTATGATGCATAAAAGAAATGGCTTAAATCAAAAAAAAGTATATTTCAATTTTTGATTAAAATCTTAAATGTTGTAATCAAAACTATTAAGAATAAGAATAATATTGTAAAGTACTGTTTGTGCGTTAACTAGAGGAGCTACGAGGTCACACCAGTAATATCTCGTTACACACACCACTAGACACTGTACTTTTTATTTTAAGCACAAATATGAGAAAGCAAATTTATCCATTTACATCTTAGAAATTCAAACCCTTTCTTCTTCTCATCATCTATGATTAAAAATATAAAATATTTCAATAAAAAATGAAATGTTAATACCTTGTTTCACTCGTTTCACTTTATTCATGAAGTTCTCCCCATTTCTAAAATCTGACGTCTAAAACTATTTATAACACTTTTATTTTGGTTTGCAGTGTTATAAGTTTTTGAACAGAAATTTTCTATTTATCAAAAAGCCTTTTAAGATTAAATTTTGTCCCGAGCTTAAATAATAGTGTTCTATAGGTAAGTTTATGAAACGTTTGTGTACTTGTTTTATTTCTAGATAAAGTAAGTTTTGTATTTTGTAAAATAGCAGAAGTCAAAATATAAAGTTGATTTCAATTTTATTTTTATTTCAATTGCAAAAAATATTTTGGAAATATCCTAAATTTTTAGAGAAAATCCGGGAACCAATCGAAACTTTATAGCACATGTGCCTTAATGTACAGCTAATTTAACATTATAGCACAAAGATTTCTTAATAGCACGGTGCTATAATATACAGCTAATTTAACTTTATAGCACGATGATTATTTTATAGCACAACAGTTTCATAAAATCTTACAATATTCCAAAATATTACAATTTGTCAGATATATCAAATATTTTATATTTTATAACAAATGTTGAATTATATAATTTTTATGTATATAAATATATTTAAACAAAAATTACAAAAATTTTAATTTCACATAATTAATTTACTAGTTTCATGAAAAATAAAAAAAAAGAAACAAAGTATATGTTAGCAAAATGTTAGCTCAATATTTTAAAAGGTTTGGGTTCTTCTGAGGTGTTTAAATAACACACCCCTTCTCCATTAACATTGTAGCTAGCGGATGTTAATTTTGAGTTAACTTTAAATTCAAGGGGGATCCCCCCCCCTTGGTTAAAAACTGCCCATGGAGGCAATTGTGTTGTCAATACAAGATGTATATTGACTATTGAGTATATAGTCCTGGTTCACTCTCTGTTAATCCTTTTATATTTGTAATTTGTAAATATATATAATATAGATATCAAGTCTAGGAATATATAAAATAATATATACTTATCTGTAGAAATAGAAAAAGTGTGTGCAGCCTTAATATTTACTACTTATGTCATATGTGGAGGGAAAAGGTTTAAGCTTCTGAATAGAACATTCGAAGAAAAATGTGTTCCCACGATGTTAAGTTATACCATCAGAGTTTTAAAATCTGATGAACCAAAAGTGTTTGCAGATCACTTAAAATGGCTCTAACACATAAAGTTCTATATATGACACGATTTAATTTACAAAATGGCGAAATTTTTCTTACAAAGTCTTAATTGTTTCATAAAACATGGACTTCGTACTCTTTAATTACTGTTAAAAACCTCCTAGGCGGTCAAATTTACAACGGTACCCTTGAAACCTTTGTCTGATCAAGCATAAATTAGAGATATGCATGATTGTGTTTCTTTAAACTGTTTATTTTTCATTTGCAGGTTCTCTGCAAACTTACTTGCGCATTTCTTGCGTAAAAGAAGCAACGGGGAAAACTCACAGAAATAAACACTATTTAAGTGAGAAAAACGACGTTATCTTCCACATTTTTGATCAAAATAAGGATTCACGGGTACCATTGTAAATCGGGCATTGCCATTTTTGCATGGAATGTCACTTAGAATTATGCTTACAGTCCTTTCAAAGATATTATTTAGCTGATGAACCTTGGTCCTGATATCCTTCCTCAGTATAGACAAGAAGCACCCAGCACCCCGCCTCACATTCTTCTACACTACTGTGCATTCAAGGCCAGCTGGGATTGGATCATACTCTTCCTTACCTTTTATACTGCTATCATGGTAGGATTATAATAGCAATAATAATAATAATAATAATAATAATAA